GAACGGGACCCTTGGGCAGCCCCAGAACTGCCCCCGAGCCCCGGTACCACCGGAGCGGGCGCCCGCTTTGCCTTTCCCTCAGGAATTCGCCTTTCCCGCGGGGCTCTGGGGATTTTTGGGGGTCTCTGCGTGTCCCGCGGGGGGCCCCACGTTCATTTTGCTGATTTTAAGACCCCCCCCCAAATTTTCCTCGCGGCTCTGCCTCACGTGACCTCCGGAATTGTCGTGGTTTGGAATTATTTTGATTTTTTATTGCGATTATTTCGATTTTTAATCCGGGATCAGCTCGGCCCCCCCTCAACCCCCCGCCGCTTCCCATTCGGGAATTCCAAAAATCCCGATTAATTCCCTGCCACCTCCGGGCTGTGGGGACAGGGAGGTGACACCGAGAGTCCGGCGTGGCTGGGGTGGCACCGGCTGGTGACTCACCGTGCCTCAGTTTACCCACGTAAACCCGCGGTGACTCCGTGCCTCAGTTTCCCCATGGAACTTCTGGGGCGTCTCCAAGGTTTTTGTGGGGAGGTGTCTCCAGGTTTGTTTTTTTTTTGGGAGGGAGGGTCTCCGGATTTGTTCCTGGGGTCTCCAAGGTTTTTTATGGGCGTGCTCCGAGGCTTTTTTGGGGGTGGTTTCCGAGACACTTTTGGGGGCGTTTTTCCAGGTGTTTTTTTGTGGGGTCTCCAAGGTTCTTTTTGTGGGGTCTCCAAGGTTTTTTTGTGGGAGCTCCAAGATTTTTTTGTGAGGTCTCCATGGTTTTTTTCTGTGGGGGACTCCAGGGTTCTTTTGTGGGAAATTTCCCAGGTTTGTCCGTTTGTTTTTGTGGGACCTCCAAGCCTTTTTGGCGACTCCCACTCCGGGTGGCGACTCCCTGCCTCAGTTTCCCCGCGGTAACTCCGGCTGGGCGGCGACGGCGACAAAGGGACCAAAGTCCTTCCCTTGCCACCCTCCGCGGGTGCCAAAACCGTGACAAAACCCTCCGCGAGCGGCTCTGTCCCCTCGTCCCCCGCAGGGATGTTCCCCAAGAAACTCTCCGACGGCCCCGCCGGCGGCTACGGGCCACCCCCGGCCACCTCCTACGGGCCACCCGCGGGCGACTACGGCTACGACTTCGGGGCCCGCTCGCCGCCGCCGGGCTCCTACTACGCGGAGGACGCCCCGCAGCATTTCTACCGCTGGTGCTCGCCGCCGGGGCTGCTGCGGCTGCTGGCGGCCGCGGTGCTGCTGCTCTGCGTGGCCGTGTTCGCCTGCGTGGCCTCCACGCTGGCCTGGGACTACGGCTACGGCTACGGCGGCGCGCTGGCCGCCGGCCCGGGCGGCTACTACGGCTCGGGCTACTACGGCGGCGGGCTGGGCTACGGCTACGGCTACGGCGGCTACTACGGCTACGGCGCCGCCAGCCCGCGGGCGGCCAACGGCTTCATGATCGCCGCGGCCGTGCTCTGCTTCCTCGCCCAGCTGGGGCTCTTGGTAGCCAGCCTGAGCAAGTCCAGCGGGTCGCGGTCGCGCCGCTTTTACCTGGCGGTCACGGTGGTGAGCGCCGTGCTGGCCCTGCTCGTGCTGGTGGCCAGCATCGTCTACGTGGTGGGGGTCAACCCGCAGGCGCAGATGAGCGGCGGCTACTACTACAGCCCGCTGCTAGCCATGTGCAACCAGGTGTACGCCGGCGGCGCCGTGCTCAACCAGTACCTGTACCACTACTGCACCGTGGACCCGCAGGAGGTGAGCGGGGCCAGCGGGCCACCGGGAGGGGGACCGCCGGGAGGGGACGGGGACTACCGGGAGGGGACGGGGACCACCGGGATGGGGATGGGGACCACCGGGAGGGGAGGGGGACTACCGGGATGGGGATGGGGACTACCGGAGGGGATGGGGACTACTGGAGGGGATGGGGACTACCGGGAGGGGACGGGGACTTACCGGGAGGGGATGGGGACTACTGGAGGGGATGGGGACCACCGGGAGGGGACCGCCGGGAGGGGACGGGGACCACCGGGAGGGGACGGGGACCACCGGGAGGGGACTACCGGGAGGGGATGGGGACCACCGGGAGGGGATGGGGACCACCGGGAGGGGACCGCCGGGAGGGGACGGGGACCACCGGGAGGGGACGGGGACCACCGGGAGGGGACTACCGGGAGGGGATGGGGACCACCGGGATGGGATGGGGACCACCGGGATGGCGATTACCGGGAGGGGACAGGGATTTACCGGGAAGGGATGGGGACTACCGGGATGAGGATGGGGACTACCGGGAGAGGATGGGGACAACCGCAGGGGATGGGGACCGCCGGGAGGGGACGGGGACTACTGGAGGGGATGGGGACTACCGGGATGCGGATGGGGACCACCGGGATGGGGACTACCGGGAGGGGACGGGGACTTACCGGGAAGGGATGGGGACTACCAGAGGGGAACAGGTTTGGGGTTTGGGGTTTGAGATTCAGGAATTTGGGTAGGACAGAGAAAAAATTGGGATTCAGGAATCAGCCCCGCCCCCTCGCTCACCCCCCCACCCCCGCTCTTCCCCGCGCCAGCCCCAAACTGCAGCGATCCCAAATCATTCCCGGGATCCCGATCCCGCTTTCCATCCCGGTCCCGGTCTCGGTTCAGGTCCCGGTCCCGGTCCCGGTCCCGTCCCTGGCCGGGCCCGCCGGGGCCGCTCCCCCCGGCGGGGCTGGAACTGGAATGCGGCGCTTCCAGCCCGGCCGGTGGGACCGGGAGCGCCCGGGGCCGCCCGGGACCGGCTCGGGATGGGGCCGGAACGGGGATGGGGCCGGCTCGGGATGGGGGCCCGGGGCTGGCACCGGGGGCCCCCAGATCCTGCCCATCCTTCCCAAACCCCAAAACTTTCCATGGCCTTTCTAAATCCCAAACCCTCCTCAATCCCAGACTTTCCCAAATCCTAAACCTTCCTGAATCCCAAATCTTCCCTGTCCTTCTCAAATCCCCATCCTTCCCAAATCCCAAACCTTCATTTCCCGTCCTTTCTGAATCCCAAAACTTTTCAAATCCCAAATTAGAGATTTGGGAAGGACAGGGAAAGGTTTGGGATTTGGGATTCAGGAAGGTTTGGGGTTTGGGAATGTTTGGGATTCGGGAAGGTTTAGGATTTGGGAAGCACAGAGAGAATCTTTGGGATCGGGCTCATCCCCTGCGGCGGGGACTCCCGGGCTGAGAGCAGCGGCGCCAGAACCCCCAAATCCCGAATTCCCGGAATTCCCGGAATTCCCGACTCCCGCATTCCCAGGCCGTGGCCATCGCCTGCGGCTTCCTGATGGTGCTGCTGCTGTGCCTCATCTGCCTCTTCGCGCACAAAACCCGCAGCAAGATCTGGAAGTACGGAAAACACAACATTTATTGGGATCGCCTCCCGGCCGGCCGCCAGGGCCCCGACGTGGAGGAGTGGGTGAGATTTTGGGGATTTGGGGGGTTTGGGGAATGCTGGGAATGGGATCCGGGGGATCCTTCCCGCCCCTTTTCCAGCGGGGCTGGAAATCCCCAAGTTTGGGATGGGTGCAAAGGGAAGTTTGGGGGATTTGGGGGCACCGGGAGTGGATTTAGGGGGATTTGGGGATTTTAGGGGCATTTTGGGGACTTCGGGGGGAGTTTGGGGACTCCAAGAGGGCTTGGGGACACTGCCAGGTGACACCGCGGGGCGCCGCGCGCGGTTTCGGTCTGGCCAATGATTAACCGGGAGGTGGCACCGGGAAAAGCCGGAGTGGTGGCACCGGGACGGGGACCTTGGGGACATCCCGGGCTTGTGTCACCTGCTGGGCTGGCCCGGGGCGGGGTGGGAATGTCACAGCGCTCCCGCGGGAAGGCTTGGGACAGTGGCTTAGGGGACAGCCCTGTCCCTGTCCCATGTCACCATCCCTGTCCCGTGTCCCCATTCCTGTTCCTGTCCCCATTCCCTGTCCCCTGTGTCCCCATCCCTGTCTCCTGTGTCACCATCCCTGTCCTGTGTCCCCATCCCTGTCCCCATCCCTGTGTCCCCACCCCTGTCCCCATCCCTGTCCCTCTCCCCTGTGTCCCCACCCCTGTCCCCTGTGTCCCCATCCCTGTCCCCACCCCTGTCCCCATCCCTGTCCCCTGTGTCCCCATCCCTGTCCTGTGTCACCATCCCTGCCCCCAGTCCTGTCCCTGTCCCCACCCCTGTCCCCTGTGTCCCCGTGCCACCACTCCCATCCCGGTTTCCCTGGGGCCGCGCTCCCTGCGTCGCTTTTGATTTGATTGGATTTTTTGGTGATTTAATCTGATTTATTTTCTTTCCCATTGTGCTCTCGCCCCGTTTGTTTGGGTTCCTTTGGGTTTATTTGCTCCAGGCCCCTCCCTGGACGAACATTTCCCGTCCCTTTTGGGGACACGCCACCACCCCCAGGTGCCACCCGCAGATAACACCCCCGCCTGCCACCTCCCCCGCGCTTTTTCGGGGTGTCACCCCCTTTTGGGACATCTGAGTCCCCAGATGCCACCACGGCTTGGGGACACACCTGGCGGCCCCCGGGAGGGGACGGGGGAGGAAGTGGCGTGTCCGGCCGGATGTCCCCAAGGCCACCAAGCCGGCGGGGACCG